CATATTTTTTTTCATATTTGCTTTTTGATTTCTCCGATAGAACAAGCTATACACCATAAGTGGTCCGTTATTGAACTTTAAACTCTTTTGATTAAGTGCGATGAAGGAAAATATGTCTGAATTAGAAAATCTTGACACGGCGACAAAATACTTGAAGGGCTTAGGCTGTATATTTATTCGATGGACACTGGCTTTGCGTAGGATATCTTATATGATTATGCGATCACTACATCCCTTGGCAAAAACTATGGCTCAGGCAGCACACCAATGTTGGCCAAACTTCCGGACAATATTCGATTGATTGGACTCCAATATTGGGGCGCAACCCGCTCCAACGTTGGACCAATGAAATTTCCAATATTGGGACAGTGGCGATCCAATGAAGATCCAATATTCCTACATTGGCATCCTAATTTATCCAATTACATATCAATATTCTTAGACAATACTACGCCATGATTTTCAATATTGGATTCCAACAATAAGCCAGGATTTCCAATATCGGTATACAATTATGGGCCTTTTTTCTGATATTGGTATCACTTTAAAATCCTGGATTTCCAATATTGATATAAAATATTATGCCGCGATTTTTTATGTTATTTTCCAGTATTCCGCCACAATTTTCGATATTGGTATCTAATAATGCGCCATTTTAGCGCAATATTATTGACCAATTATGTTCCTGTCTGTCTAATCTTGTAATCCAATCACAAAACAATTTCGCCAATGTAATTATCCTGTTAAATACCACTGTTCCGCAATATTGGCAACCAGTGTGGATCACCTTTCTAACTTTGATATTCGTTGTTATCCCAGATTTTCTATGTTCGTAATTTACTATTAGACAAAATTTTATAAGTATGTTTCAGCAGAATAAACTTGAACTGCGCCAATAATGGCCATCTTTTACAGTTGGGTTTTGACAATTGCTTGCAAAACATAATAGCATATTAGCTAATATGAATACTGACGAACGAACATTTATAGTGTCATATGTATGTGTTTCTTATACAGGAAATCTAAAACAAAATAAAAGTAATCTAGTTTGCCTTACCCAAAGAGACAACAATAACGTCAGATTCTTAGTGATGCTCATTTATTTCACCAGTGACATCCCCCGTTGCAAAACTAATGCATGTCGGTCCTTTTTGTCAATTGCATATCAGTCAAAGTAATAGAAACGGCAAATTAATTTCTTTGTGAAGCATCAACATCCAACTTAGCTATAAATTAACACCGACATTTAGAAACATTTATTCATTGAAACATTTCGTTCCCTAAACGTAAGGTGTTTCAGTAGAATTCCCAGCTCGATGATGGCGCCCAGGTCGTGAACTTAAAAGAGTTGCGAAACACAATTGAAAGCCTTAGCGTGTGTAATAACTTATCAAGATGAGTTATGCGTTCCGGAAAAATAATCAACAACATAAGAGAAGGTCATTACTTCCTAAAATCGCGAAGGCGTTCTTTTCCTTAACATTCCGAATTGTGCAGTTGGTTGACGCACAGTGAACGTCATATCCTGTGAACAGAGAAAACAACAGTCAATTGAAATATAGGTACACGTAATAATACTTTAGCCTTCCATTGGGCAAAAAAACATTTCCTTCGTCACAAAGATAAAAGACTTTAGGAATTGATAGCTGTCCCCGTTTATTAAACTTCTTAAAAAAACAAATTAGAACATGAAAACAGTAAGACACAAGCCTTTCCAGGGGAAGAAATAGGACGATCCGAATGTATTCAATAGCGATTGGATAAAAACAGATCTTTCTAAATCATGCGCATTCGTATGTACGTTGAAAACGCCATCACATGCTTGAGTAGTTAACTTGGGCCAAGGGAAAAACGCAGTTTCATTCTTCGGATTAGCGCACCATTCGCTTGTTTTAACGAATATATCGCGCAGTCAATGCATAGTTGTGTTCGAAAATTATCTGGATTTAATAAACAACAAAGCCCCAATCAACCTGACACATCGTTCAGTGTTTTTTTTAAGGCTCTAACATCTTATTGAACACTGCTTATTTGACGGTATATAATTCTTTCTTTCTTTCCGTCGAAGATATGCAAAGAAGGCAAGAATGCGGTCTGAACAAAAACATATATGTGGTCAGTAGTTAGTCATAGAGGTTTTCGTCCCAGTAGTTACCTGACCGGCAGGCAGAGGGCACTTACACACGCGGCTCCATAAGGTGGCTTCATTCTGGTTGGTTTCGGCTTCAGTAGGCTGGCGGCTGTGTTAGGCTGTTATGTCGCTTCGCTTTGTTTTTGATATAAATGTATCGCTTCTGGTACACCACCAATGATAAAGTGGTAATGTGCCACCTTCAGTGGCGTACCAACTTGTTTTTGAGTGGGGGGCATCCCGAATTCCCTCCCCTCTCCCTCCCCTCCCTCCCCCCCAGGGCCGAGGGTCGATGCCCTTGGTATCCCTTGGGCGCCGCCTCCAGTGTTTGCCCTGCCCAGTGGCGGCTGTTTCGGGGGGTCAAAACACATCCCCCCCCACACTCTGAGAACTGGAGGGGGGGGGGGGGGCAAGCGCCCCCCTTGCCTCCCCGTTTGGTACGCCCATGGCCACCTTAAAAACTACCACGGGGTTCTGAGCCTAAATTGTGGGCGTTTTTACAAACACATTTATCTGACCATGTTCGTCATTCGGACAAGTTGGACAGCGAAACAAATGAAATAATGCAGTAGGAAGATTATCGATGTCTGCGGCCGTACTGGACGTACCAGCTGACACTAGTTTTCATAAGAATAAACTAAGGAAAAGGCTAAAACATGTATGTACAGTGATAAAAGAGGTCGACAATTTTACAATGTGCTCAATCGCCAAGAGCCGACGAAATCTCAAGTTTAGTGCTCACTGCTCCATTTTTGAGGACACCAACATTCTGTGAAAATTTCCAACTGGGAAACCCCCCTGTTCTGACGCATAAAAAGCAAAAAAAGAAGCGATATTGTCTCTATTGCTTTCTTTAAAAAAAAATGTAATTACTCGAGAGATGTGTCGATGTTCCACCCCACGCCGAGCAGATATGTTTTTCACCTAACTGCCCTAATGAAGCAACCATTAGAAGCATTTCACTGTGTTCACCATAGGAAACTCGGTTATAGCGCCTGTCCTGTATACTTCTTGTCCTTGTTTTCTGTTGCGCTATTTTATATGTTTTACTCTGTTATACGGAGATTCCCTTGCAGCCTGTTTAGACTAGAAGACAAGGGACCATCCTTTCAAGTGAAGTCTGACGTCTGTCTTTCGTGTAATTTGAGATATAAAATTTAATGGCGCAAAAGAATTGACCTCCAGCAAGCCTGGCTCAAGGCGAACGCCAGGCACAACGTAATGGATTTGAGTAAAAAAATCCTCATTTGTTTTAAAAGATGCCCCTTTTTACTTTCAATATCCAGCATCGACAACGCTGCACTCAAGTAATTTCCATGCAGGCAGTTTCTTTTCGGCTTCACACATTGGGTTCCTCAGTCGCTTTTGTAAGGCTCTCATAAGCTGCCTTTGACACGTTTTTTTACCTGGGAAGCCCAACACTTTTTGTATTAATAAATTAATTGAATTGGATATCTTAAGAAAATTAAATGACTGAAGACAGCAGACAAGAGACCGAGCACAATGTATAATTTATTTAAAATCATAAATAAACAGATCAAGCAAATGTTTACACCGCAAAAATTATTCCACCATATTATCAAAAGCAAATATTTTGTATTTGTTATACAGGCAGAGCATTATGCTTTGAAAAAGCACACATAGTAGCTGCTTGCTTTGACTATATTTGCCTTCTTGCTTAAGACCATAAATGCGTGATCATAAATATACCTCACGCTTCTTATTGAGCCACTATCACTTAAGCAATTTCGCGCTCTTATAAATAATTGACCTGTCATCATACTGAATGTGCGCCAGCGCTAACGCTGACACCTTTCCTGACACCTATGGAGTACGCCGACGGCGTTAGTACTACAAACGCGTTAATAAATCAAGAAAAGAAGTTGTGCTCACAACGACGGGATTAAGTTAGGTAGTAAATAAAGTGTCAGACGACACTTCACTAAGCAAGGCAAATTATCGCGGTGAGGGGCGACGAAAAACACGAATACATCGATTTCGCCAAGCCGCGGAGGGCAGAGAGTAGCGACGAGTTGGAGCCGCCTTATGGCGGCCGCGTGACGTGATTCCAAGATGGCAGCACCCACGCGACGGAGGGTGAAAATTTCTAATGAGATTCTAAGAAAGCACAAATAAACCAAAAATTTGGAATCGAGCAAATTTGTAAACAAATGCTTGGTTACCTGATGTTTGATCGCGAAAAACAAAAGCAAGACAAGATCAGCAAATCTCCTTATTAGTACACACAGGATACTTGCAACACGTGAAAAGCAGAGTTGTTAAATTGAAGATTAGGGTTTTTACGGTGCCAAATCAACGAAGGGAATCTGGCCCGTGCTATAAAGACACTATTATTATTAGTATTACATGCATTTTCGGGTTTTTTGTGAAATATGTCTGATAAACGATATCGTTCGTGATTTGAAGATTTTTGCGATATATACGTCTGTTTCCGCGAACGCGCAAAACTGTGAGTTTATAAACCAGCTGCAGTCAAGTTGCGAGCTTTTGACGGAAATAGCGCCGACTCTCAAAGCTTAAGCAAAGGTTAATTTCTGAGATTGTTATTTAAATCCAACATTAAAATTGCGGATTATGTAAATAACAATGACGTCCCCACGTTTATAGAGGAGCATAGAAGAAACCTTTATGTGCAAAGTGATGACCAATGCGGAGAGAAAAGGCTGACGTAGCAACCTCTTCTGTCTGATCTGCTACTATAAAAACAGGGTATTCGTGATAACTGTCTGGGCAAAGTTGGGCTACGTGTGCTAGGTTTTAACCATTTGGCGCTGGGCGTATATTCTCGGAGCCCGTAATTTGTAACTGCATATTTTGTTCCTGTAGGACTGCGTGCTAAGTTATCAGCATGAAGTACATGCTGCTCGTGATTCTAGCTGCAACTCAATGTGAGTATAACTGGTTTGATTTTAATATTGTTAGGGAGCAAACGATGAAGCCGAAGGGCGAGGAAGCGCGCGCTCTCAGGTAGTGGACAACGATCTTTCGTCACTCGAACCCAACTAAAATCAGTCATTGACCCTCATTAAACCGTCTCTTTTAACATCACCACAAGTGGTCAAAGTCAGTAAAGTTCCCGACCTCTCTGCCAATATTTATATTCTGGAGTTTCGTAGTGTGTGCACCACTGTCACCGTCTTACAAGAAGCGACCACCTCCAACATCTCCTAGACAATAAAACCCAAATGCTTAATTCTTTTGTGTCACTAAAGAAGGTCACCGTAGACCAAGAATTGGACGCCATTTCGGCCTCAGGCTATGGCAAGGAGTCGTGCTCTGAGAGATTCGACACAAGCTCCAGCACAACGCTGATGGAGCACTCCGGTCCAATCTCTGGCCTACGGTGGCTTTCTTTAGTGACGCAGGAAAATTTATCATTTAGGCTTTCCAGTCTATGAGGTGTTGCCCCTCCCGGTTTTACTCTATAGCCACCGGTGGTCAAGAACCGGCAACTGGACCCACCTATTTTCGCTGGCTAACCTGACACCGAAGTTCACGATTGGCTCAACCTCTACAACCGTGCAACTTACCACAGGAGAATGGCCAACAGCTTCACGCTGACAAATGTCGTGTTCTTTGTGAAGGACACTGCATTAAAATGGTTTAACAAGCACGAAGACGGAATCAACTTCTGGGACACATCCACAGCAGCATTTGCGTACGCCTTCGATAAACTTGAGCCACGCAAGCAGCAAGCGACAGATAAGCTTCCTCGCCAATTTTAAGCCGCCATGGAGTATTCCACCTGCTACATAGAGGATGTCCTTCGCCTCTGCAGTCGAGTGGATGCAGGAATGATGGAGGAATACCATTTCCGTCACCTGGTCAAGGGGTAATTCCAAGACCTCCTCCCTATCGTCGCCCTAAAGTAACCCACAAAATTTTAAGACCTTAGCGGTGAGTGCGGGAAGTACGAAGAGCTGCCAAGCGCACGCATCTCAAATGCTCCGCTGGAAAGCCTTCCAGAAGTATCGCTTGCATCTATTGCCATTGTCGACTTGCCGGCATTGATTCGCAACATCATTTGTGAAGAGCTGCGTTCATTTCTTGACCAGAGCCGTGCACGTCTTGACGTGACCGAACCCCGCCTTCAGGCTCAGGGTGTCCAAAAAGATGTCAAGGACGAAGTTCGTGACGCGCTTGGATCATTCAGACTGCCAACTCCAACATATGCTCGTCCATCGTCCCCCCTGCCACTCTTATGCTCCCGGTCTCATGACTCCCGGCACTACTACGCAGTCCTCGTGTTTATGAAGCCGCCCCAGGCGTTACTAACCCATCCACCATTTCGAAGAAGGGACATTTGGAGCACTGATGACAAGCTACCCATCTGCTTCCACTGGAGCTTACCCTTTCCCATCGCTCGCTACTGCCGCCGTCGCATGGATGTCCATGAATACCGTCGTTTCTCTCAACCTCACTCCCGTTACTCTGCCGATGAAGTCGTTCCTTTGACTACCAGCCGTCAGCCCCCCTTTCGCAGCGTAACAACCGCAGTGACCGCCGTCTCCTTACTCAAGACGCAACGCTCCGTGTCACCCCTCAATTCCGCTGCCGTTTTCAAAACCGACGTCAAACGAAAACCCGCAGCCTGCGCTCTCGAGGGAGGTCAAACTGCACTATCAAACTGCGATAATAATTCATCTAAAGATGGCCCAACTTCTGTTGCTGTTGAAATTGATGGACTTAAAATTGAAGCCCTCATAGACACTGGTGCTGCCAGATCATATATTTCTGACGAATCTAGAACGCCGCTTACGTAAAGTGTTGACGTCGGCATTTGGACGGTATTTACGTAAGAGAAAACCAAACTTGATTTGTCCCCTCGGCTACTCAAACCTCTCAGAGACCCTTGGCTCCAATCGCTACGTTTGCATCTTCACAGTTTTTTCTACCTGTGCAGCTGACGTGATACTGGCGTAGGACTTCCTGCAATCAGCTGATGCCGTCATTCACTGTTGAGGAGATCAGCTGTATCTGAACAGTTTTGACGGAAGTTTCATACTGTTGTCCATCACACTACAGCCGATGTAGTCATACCTCCATTGACTGCTGTAGCGGTAGTACTCGAGCTTGATTTCAACTTCCAAGAAGTGATACAAACTTGTTTAGCCATTGGTTACCACCTTTATGCAAAACAGTTTACCTGTACCGTACCCTATCTGTCGCAGAAACAAATAGCCAAGTTCATTTATATATTACCTACGCCTCCGTAGCGCCACTATTACTACCTCGAAGTGCTGGTATCGTAACCATCCGGTCGCACAACCATGAAAGCCTAGTCATTTTGACTCACGACACGTTTAACGTACAGTCTCGGCCACTTACCCAGAAACTGAGTCCTGCAATGCAGCAAGTTCACAACAGACCAAAGGCAAGCTCTTTCCAGCCTCTTTGCAGCTCATTGTGCTTTATTTTACTGTGGTCGGCCCACACTACCACAGAAATCGAGTGTGTACCACCAGATTGAAACCGGAAGCCCAATTTTCTTAAAGAGCCGCATTACCATATCTGACCTGCGGAACCCAAAGTGGTCCCAAGCTATGTCCCTGATTTCCTGAACATTGTTATTCAGCCATCATCTAGCCCTTGGTCGTTCCCGGCGCTCTTGTAAAGGAAAAGACTGGTCGTGGATTTTCCACGCGTTAACAAGGTAACAAAACAGAATCTACCCTCTCCCTCGCATCGGCAACGTGCTGGGCGCGCTTCAAAGGTCCTACTTTTTTCATCTGTAGTTCTCCGTAGCGGATATTTCCGACGGTGAAAAACTACGTTCTTCACACCGGATGGTCTCTTCCAGTTTAATGTGATGTCATTTGGCCTCTGTAAAGCTCCCTCGACCTTCGAACAAATGATAGAATGATACTTCATGGTTTGACCTGTAATATCTGCCTTTGCCATCCCGAAGAAGTTTTTTCTACATCATGTCTGTCTACATCGGTTCCGTCAGGTTTAATTCAATCCAATATTTAAAGCTTCATTTCCCAGGTATGCACGGGTGGAAGGCCCGGAGAAAAAGCTGCTAAAAAGCAGCTTGACATGGTGTGGGGTACCATACAATCTTAGCAACAACTTCGGAAATTTAAAAAGAAAAACTTACATATTTTCCATGTTATGCGGAATAATGATACGCTAACAAATCAACAAATACGGTCCGAAGAGAAGCAGATTGTTTTCAGGTTTAAGCAAAATACACAGGATGATCTGTTGCAGAAAGCATAAAAATGTTGTTATTTTGAAGATGCCATTTCTTTAACAGTGAAGGAATGTTATAATGAAGAGATTAAGATTATATTTTGTGCGATTACTAGTGACCAACCATTTTTCTAGACTGCTTCCGCTCCGCTAATTTGCAGTTGAACTAAAACTATGCACGTTTTGAAGCAAGCAAATTGGAGTGTTGGGACATCTTGTCAGTTAAGACAGTATTGGCCGAGGGCCAAGCAAAGTCAATGTTGTCTCTGAGTTCCCCATTCCTAAAGCACCGAAAAAGATCCTTGCCTTTCTTGAATTCTTCACCTACTTCCCAAAGTTTATTCCTGGTTTCTCAGATCTCACCGAAAGTCTTAACACGGTGTTGCAAAACCACAACAAAAGGTCAATGGGGATTCCCGCAAGTCACAGCATTTGAATCGCTTAAACATGCTTTTATTTTTGCCCGAATCCTTGGTCACTATGTAGGGGGCGCTGACATTAAAATCCGAACGGACTCAAGCGGATATTGCCGCATGCTTGAGCAAGAGAAACGCTTCTCCTTTTTTCTAGAAGATTTGCGTTTACCCTAACCTCGAGTAATTGACTCTCTAACATTCTAAACCATGTGTTCGAGATACGGAGCGTAATACATAAGGAGGCAATGACCTTGACGAATCTGTATCGCCCTAACTCTACGCTGGAATATACTCAGTCAAATGTTAGAGCGTCGAGCTACACCCTAAGAAAAAATTGAGGAAAAAGATAGCAACGGCGCAGTTTCCTCCCATCTACTGACGCGCCCCCAAGCGGACACGAGAATAGAGGAACGAGACGTTTTTCTCCTTCTCCAGGCAGACGGGAGAAAACGTTTGGCCTCCCGACTCATCTTTCAAATTCCTTTTTCCAAACACGCCGCGCACGTTGTTTAATAAATGTTGATGAGTTGGTTGAGCTTCAGCTGCAGCCAGGGAGATTTCATAACGTCACGTGCCTAGCCTCTGCAAGGCACCTTCTTATCAAGCCGCCTCTCCCCCTACCTACTTCACATTTTTTTCCGGAAACGGTATGCATCTCGGAACGAGTCAGCCCCGCCACGTGACTTTTTCTGGTAGGTTCCAGGAGAGGCGCTATTATGGTCAGCCGTAGTATGTTGAATGTACGGAGTAGGCAGTGAGCGCGGAGGGGGTGGGTGTCGGATTTCTAGTGTCTGCTTGTCTTTCTTTTGCCCTGTAATTACGGAATAGGCAGTGAGCGCGAAAGTCGTGGGTGTCGGATTTGTAGCGTTTGCTTGCCGTTCTTTTGCCTTGTGTTTACGGAGTAGGCAGTGAGCGCTGAGGCGGTGGGTGTCAGATTTGTAGCGTCTGCCTGTTGTTCTTTTGCCTTGTAATTCTCGACCGCTCCGAATATAGCATGAACAGTGCAATTTCAGAACTAAAGCACTCTTTCGCAGTGCACCTACGTCATTGGTGAATGTCTAGGAGGCTTCGTAACGTCAGTTGAGCGGCTCGTTCGAAGCACCGTCTCAGCAGACACTGTCTCAAGAAAGCGCTGTCAAAGGTAGCGCTCAATCTTAAATCGCGTCTCGCGCGCTCCAGCCTTGACAATGCTTTTTAAGTCCGTCTCACCTAAGACGCTGCATTCGAGCAAGCTGGTCCTGGGCAGTGGTCCTTCCATGCGCTTTAGCCTTCTCTTC